AAAAATGGATTCATTGGTGTGTTCACTACAGTGAGTGGAGTGCCATTGAGAAAGAGATGGGAGACGGACTGCAGAGCGCTGGTCATCACATGGATGCGTAAGAACTCACTCTCTTGTAATAAATCAACTCATCTGGTAGTTTGTCTGAGGATGCTCTTTTGTAAAAACATGCAGAAGGACTACATGTTGACAGCAGCTATGTTGGTCATTCACTTACAGCTATGCTGCCTCAGTTGACGACATCTTGGAAGAAGAAGAACATTATGCTGACCAGTTGAAAGAATATTTGTCCTACGCTGAAGCTCTGAGGTAACGTTCAGGAAGGGCTGTGTGCATGTATGGCCCTGGGACTGTTCCAGAAGTCAACAACAGTCCAGCTGTGTGTGACATAATATAAATCTAGATGCAGCTGTTGTGTTTCTGTGCTCAAAAGTTTAATAGAGAACACCAGAGAACAGTTATCGTCATGGAGACCTAGGAAAACAGTAGCAGGCCAGAGGGAATGTTCAAAGCAGGGTTAGGTTTTGCAGTAGCCTGAGAGCATTAACCAGAGAAGCAGCCAAGATATCCATGGTTACCCAGGAGGAAGTGAAGAAATCCAAAGCTAAGGCTGGATTACCTGTTCAGTGGAAAAGTATTAGTTCACAAATCACAAATCTGGACTTTTAGTAAGACAGGCAAGAAGAAAGCCACTGTTAGGAGAGTCACCAAGGTTTCTCAGAAACACTCAGCTGGCTAAGCTACACATTGCTCTGCTCATTAAGAGAAATTTGAACTTTTTCATCTTCATTCAAAAACAACAAAACAAGGAATGACAAAGAACATACATTGCGTGTGTGGAAGCTGGTTAGAGCTGGTGAAGATGGATGGATCTAAATCCAGGACAACCCAGGAGGAAACCTATTAGAGGCTGAAGAAGCAAGACAAGCAGCCTGAGGATACAGCCAGATGGTTTAAATCAGCCTGAATACTAATGCAGCCCACGCCATTAATGTTTCATTTGGAAAAGATGTTCAAAATCATTAAGCATTTTCCCCCCACTTCATTGTGTTTTCTAACCCTAATGTGGGTTTATAAGTGTGAGGTATGAGGTAAATAAGTGGAATTCAGTGTTTCCTTTGCTTTGCAGGGCAGTGTGCAGAAAACATGAGCTGAGCCAGTTTGAGCTGGAAATGGCTTCACAGGACCTCATCTCTAAGAAGCAACAACGAGAGGAGCTGGCCACCGGGGTACATCATGCAGCATCATGCAGTATTACACATTAGGTCCTTCACTCCAAACTTTATGTTGCCAAAGGGATCCAAGTGCTTTAATTAATCTATTATGATCACTTCCAAGGCCGCAGGTGTATAAAACCCAGCATCTAGTTATGCAGACTAATGCTGCAGACAGTAGTGAAGGAATGGGTCACACTATAGGGCGATTCCAGCCTACATGGCAGGATACCACTGCTGTAATAAGTCCTGGCATGAAACCTTCTTTTGGAGAGTGAGAAGCAAATGTGTACATGTGTTTTTATTCAGTGTATTTAAATTTCTGGTTTCTTCTGTAAATGTTTTGTTGATCATGTCCTATGGATGGATGGATGTTAGAACCATCTGACACGACTCTGCATCATACAGACCTGTGTCACACATGATTGGTCTGCTTCAACCTAATAGAAGACATTGGAGATTATGCATCTCTAAACAGGTGGCATTATGAGCCATCCGATATGAAACACTCCCTAAATGAATGCATAGTGTTGGACCATGTGTGAAGGCAGATGAGTGAATGTTTTTTTTTTGTCCCTCGAGGGGGCCTTTTTTTTTTTTGCAGGCTCTAGCGTTCCTTATATGACAGTAGGCTAAAAGGTAGGGGTTAGGAGAGGGGGGAAGACGCACAGCAAATATCGTCGGGTCCAGGAGTCGAACCCGCGAAGGCCGCATCGAGGACTCAAGGCCGCCAAATGTGGGTCGCGCTGTCCCCTACGTCACCACAGCAAGCCCCGAGTGAATGCTTTTGGCATCATAATGTAACATTTACAAACTCAGTCTGGTGTTCTAAACATGTAACTAATCCAGAAGGCAGTAACTTTTTATTTATTCCATTTTCTGTTTCTGTCTCAGATAGTGCGCACTTTCTCCTTAAAAGGCATGACCAACAAGCTTTTTGGGCAAGAAGCACCTGAACAGAGGGAGGCCAAGCTCAACCTACTGGAGGAGCTGATAGCAGAGGGTGAAGAGACTGTGAAGGAGAAAAGAGCTGAGTGCGAGTGAGTTGCAGACTGTGTGAAAGCAGCAGCATGGCTGATGGATCAGGTTCTGGTACTGCTCTGCTTCATTTGTCTTTCTCTAGGGAGCATGCTGAAAAGGCATGGGGAGACATCGTCCGTTTTAAGGATCAGAAGGACAAAGATCTGCAAGAGGCGCTCATCAACTACGCTCTCATGCAAATCAGCATGTGCAAGAAGGTAGAAAAGAGCCTAAACTCAGCGTGCATTTATGTGTTTATGCTCACTGTCTAGTTTCATATCTACTCTCTTTTTGCAGGGAATACAAGTGTGGAGTAATGCCAAAGAATGCTTTCTTAAGATGTAGAGTCAAAGCTGTACAAGCTCTACTAATATAAGTGAGACCTGTGGACACATTTACACAAAGGAACATCTTTTCCAAGTACTTTGAAGTACTTGGAAGGGGAAGAACATAAAATGACATGGAACCTGATGTTTAAACTTTTAATATGTTCAAAAGTTACATGCTGGAGATTGTTTCTACGCTGTTGGATCTATAAGAATGAGCACAGTAGGAGAATGGGCTGGTGAGGCTGAAACTAGAGGAGAGGGAATGACAATGTCTCAGGCTTAATCCAAAGGTATAAAGTAGGACCAAACGATTAGGACCTCAAAAGCTCAAATATTAGCTGAACCCTGACCTCAAACCCTGGGAGGACTTACAGCAGAGAAGGAGGAAGCCCAAATCATTCCTTCTACCAATCCGACTGGACAAAGATCAGATCCCAGACCGCAGCGTCTTCGCCCGTCTTTAACCGTACAGCTTGGTAGAATATTAAAGAGGGTGGAATATCGACTCTGCTGCCAGGAAATTAAGTCTTCAGTCAGAGGTCTCTGCAGATTGATTGGTTGCGAGACTGACTGCTACCAGAGATTCTTTCCACCCACAGCCTCACCATACAAAATGATTCTTTGAATTTAGTTTTAATTACCTTTTGAGATAAATGAAGTATTTTTTAATTGAATCAAAACTTTGACACAGAAGTCCTCAAAAATATCTATGTCCCCTTATATATATAAAAAAACATAATCTTGTAATTAGTAAGACACTTAATGGTATTGTTTACAAGGATCATGTAATATAAAACTTCAGCAGTGTGTTTATTACCAATGTGTAGCAATTCTATCGATGGTAAAAAAAAGAAAAGAAATTACATTACAATTGCAAAGGGCAATTCATGTGATCCAAACTGGATCCAAAGAAACAGAAGGGAATGAAGGAAACTCCATCCATATAAATCTCAGGAAAGGAACGTGGTGATGAAAGGGAGAAACTTGAACCAGATGTCCAACATGAGCAGAAAGGCTGAAAATCTTAAGGTGTAACTCATGTGGTAACATAGTTCAAAGCACAAACTATTACAGTGAAAACAACAAAGCAAAGCACACACCAATGCGATTTATTACAGATCCACATGGTGAGAGAAACACAATTTTCTTATCCAAGTACTTTGAAGTACATTGTGTTTCTCTCACCATTCTCTCTTAACTGTTTGTCTGTAATGAACTGTCTACTGTGTGGACTCGCCCGTCAGCTAGACAGTCAGATGACAACTGATAGTTTCAAATCAAATTGGATTGTCATCAAAGTTTATTTTCACTGTAAAACTCAACATTCTGTTTAATAAAAGACTTTGAGTGAACACAACTTAATTCTCATCAACTTGTTTGTATTGATCTTGAACATGTGGTGTGAACTTTTGGATTAAAAATACTCGATAACTTCATCTATTTAAGTTGAGTTCATGCGGGAAAAAAAAGTCAACTATTTGAAAGTGGTGAGGACTTGAGGTTATGAAGCTTGACGTTCAGACATTACTCCATTTCTGCTCAACTGAAGAAAAAGTTTTGAACATTTGTGCCACTGATTTCAGTGTTGGTAAAAATAAAATATGCTCTGATGATGCTATGTTTCTTTAATATGTTGCAATAATTGATTCTGTTGAGGCAATTTGTTCATATGTGGCAGAGGGGATCCCACAATGCCTTGTGCCACTGGCATCAGCAAGTTTAAGGAGAAACGGTCATCTGTACAGTCAGTTCCTAGAATGAACCACTTTCAGAGCAGTTCTCTAATTAGCCAGTTTTGCCATTTCTATTTGCACAAAAATGGGCTATGAGTGAGCTGTATGACTGGTGTTCTGCCTGATGGAGCAGCATTAATTATGTTTTCTGAAAAAAATTTGAAAACTATGTATATCATACATTAAAGTTTGCGCAGAGAAACAAATAAAAAGCAGGAGCCAGGAAGTATTTCAATTAACAGTTTTCTTTTTAGATAAGTGGTTTCTACTTTTTATAAAAATAAGCTTTGGGATTTGTTCCTGTAATTACAACATACTCAGATTTATTCAATTAACTTCAGTGCATGTGCAGAAATGTTAGCATATATAGGCCTATATTGTAATTATTTTATGTGTTCTCTTCCACTATAAAATCTGATGATGTGTCTCTGGAGATGACATGAGACTGGTTGGAGTCTACTTTTTCTTTATTTTTGCCTCTTTAGATCATATTGTGAAGACATCCTGTGTGTAAAATGCAGCTGGTTGAATAATAAGGTGGAGCACTGCTGGGTGTGAAGTGAAGAAAAACGATTTGGTCGCTTGAGGTAGAGACAGGACAGAGAGCAGAACTGAATGAGACAGAGAGATGATTCGTTGAAGGGAAAATCTGAAAAGAAACTACTAATTCACTTTCCGGATCACTAGATGGCGACCATGCGAATTGAAAATGGTTACCAACGACACACGAAAAAGAAGTTTTCTTCCTGGTCTGCAGCAGCTGCTCGCACGTGAGTTGGAACGTTGTCCTGGAGATGTCAACAAACCCAGAAAGACTGAATGATGACTTGGATGAGGGGTTTGGGGCTTTCGTGGGGCTGCAGGGTGAGGCCCTGCAGTCCTCAGGGGTCCCTCAGGTCTATTGGAGGAGCCTCTATCACAAGATCACCAACGAGGTGAGCACTGAGCATACTCAGCACACGGAGCTTACCTGGATGAAGTGTCGCGTTAACGTGGGTTCTGCTGTCAATCCTATGGGGTTCGCCGTGTTCTCTTCCTCTCTGCAGGTCTACGATGCCGGGGAGGTGTTTGGAATAATGCAGGTCCAGCAGGAGGAAGATGGGGAGAGGAAAAAAGGCAATTCTGGAGTGGTGATTGAGTGTAAAGTGGTTGTTACTCGGGAAAGTGGGCTGGAAGTCTCCGATCCAACCAGGTGAAGACCGTAAAAACATAATATATCGCTTATTCAGGACACGAATGACTATCAGCTGAGTGAAGCTGACACTCCACCACGTGAAACATTCCAGCAAATAGCCTGAGTGGTTTGTGCTCCTTATGTGGCGATAACATTTTCATTTGTGCTGCTTTGGTTTCTGAGATATTAAAATATATTTTTTAAGGTCATCCATTAGCACTAATGACGGCACTAACCTGCACTAATGGAGCACTGAAAAAAGTAACCCACTTTGGTTTGTTTTGGAGGAAGATCGGGAGGGATGGTGACCTCTGGATGACTTAAAAACAATTTTAATATATCAGAAACCAAAGCAACACAAACAAAAATGACATAACCCTAACCAAAACTCAATTCACACCTTAGTTCTGAACCTAACCGCTGATTCACAAACATTTCCCCTTGTGGGGTCCAGGCTTTGAACAGTGGCTCCCCATCAGGAAAAATGGTCCCCACAAGGTATTAAATACATGGTACACACACACTTCTGTCGAATGACATGAAAAAAGGAAAAAGGATGTAAAGGAAACTGACAATATAACACTAGGGCTGCAGATAAGTATTTTAGGAATCGGACATTCAAATTACTAAAAACTCAACACATTCTGTAGATTTTTTATTAAACCACTTAAGCTTTTTTATATACAACACTAGATATATATTATGTTAGAAATAATTCAAAGAAATAAAACATGACCATCAGATTAATAGTCATCACATATTACTTAAGTGATAAAAAATTTTCACCATAATTGTAAATGCAATATGGATATGTATTGTCCGGTTTGGCTTAATTACTTGTCTTTTTTTGAGTTTGTATACTCTAGCTAATGATTAATCAATTACTAAATTAGTTGACTATTATTTCAATAACTGATTAATCTGATGGATAATTTCAGCTCGAGTTAACACATATTAAAACTTAACATGGTTACCTGGTAATGATGACAGTCGACTGTGTAATGCTATCATATTAACTGAAACAAGGTGTGCCTAATAAAGTAGTTCATGACTATGCATGAGGGAGAAAGACGAGCAGAGACGTCTCCAGATCTACAAGCTTGAACATTTTCACAGGTGGAGCTGCTGATGCCTGCTGCTGACACATAGTGATGCTTTAAACAACATGCTGCTGAAATCCCATCACAACCAGGGTTTCTGCGCTCCTCCTGCAGCATTTTTCTGGTGGACCATGCTTGGACGTACCGGGTGGAGCATGCCCGGCAGCAGCTGGAGCAGATTCCAGGACTGCTGCCCAGGATGGCCTCCCTCATGGGGGTGGACTTCCACAGTGAGGTCCCCCCTCCAGACATAGTGGAGCTGATATTGGAGCGCATGTGGAAATACAACCAAACCTACCAACTGTCCCAGGGGGCAAGTCTGAGAACGGCTTCGCACTGCAGCTCCCTCTCTGTCAGCATGTGTTTCAGATTTCTTCTCTGCTGTGTGTGTGCGTGTGCATGTGTGTGCAGTCAGCAGAAGAAAAAGTTCCCGTGTGGTACATCATGGATGAGTTTGGCTCCCAGGTGCAGCACTCGGACCATCCCAGCTGCTGCATGGTCCCCTTCTTCTACATGCAGGGTCAGCTGACCTACACTCTGCTCTGGCCTCTCCAAGATCTGAAAGAAGGTGGTAAGGACAAAACCTGATCCAAACACACTCCCTGATCCAAACACATACCCTGATCCAAACACACAGCCTGATCCAAACACACAGCCTGATCCAAACACACAGCCTGATCCAAACACACAGCCTGATCCAAACACACAGCCTGATCCAAACACACACCCTGATCAAAACACACACCCTGATCAAAACACACTCCCTGATCCAAACGCACAGCCTGATCCAAACGCACAGCCTGATCCAAAAACACACCCTGATCCAAACACACAACCTGATCCAAACACACACCCTGATCCAAACACACAACCTGATCCAAACGCACACCCTGATCCAAACACACAGCCTGATCCAAACACACACCCTGATCCAAACACACACCCTGATCCAAACGCACACCCTGATCCAAACACACACCCTGATCCAAACACACTCCCTGATCCAAACACACAGCCTGATCCAAACGCACAGCCTGATTCAAACGCACAGCCTGATCCAAACGCACAGCCTGATCCAAACACACACCCTGATCCAAACACACACCCTGATCCAAACGCACACCCTGATCCAAACACACACCCTGATCCAAACACACACCCTGATCCAAACACACAGCCTGATCCAAACGCACAGCCTTATCCAAACGCACAGCCTGATCCAAACACACACCCTGATCCAAACACACACCCTGATCCAAACACACACCCTGATCCAAACACACACCCTGATCCAAACACACTCCCTGATCCAAACGCACAGCCTGATCTAAACACACTCCCTGATCCAAACACACACCCTGATCCAAACACACACCCTGATCCAAATGCACAGCCTGATCCAAACGCACAGCCTGATCCAAACGCACAGCCTGATCCAAACGCACAGCCTGATCCAAACACACACCCTGATCAAACACACACCCTGATCCAAACGCACAGCCTGATCCAAACGCACAACCTGATCCAAACACACACCCTAATCCAAACGCACAGCCTGATCCAAACGCACAACCTGATCCAAACGCACAGCCTGATCCAAACGCACACCCTGATCCAAACACACACCCTAATCAAACACACACCCTGATCCAAACGCACAGCCTGATCCAAACGCACAGCCTGATCCAAACGCACAACCTGATCCAAACGCACAGCCTGATCCAAACGCACACCCTGATCAAACACACACCCTGATCCAAACACACTCCCTGATCCAAACACACAGCCTGATCCAAACACACACCCTGATCCAAACACACAGCCTGATCCAAACGCACAGCCTGATCCAAACACACACCCTGATCCAAACGCACAGCCTGATCCAAACACACACCCTGATCCAAACACACACCCTGATCCAAACGCACACCCTGATCCAAACACACACCCTGATCCAAACACACCCTGATCCAAACACACAGCCTGATCCAAACACACACCCTGATCCAAACACACAGCCTGATCCAAACGCACAGCCTGATCCAAACGCACAGCCTGATCCAAACGCACAGCCTGGTCCAAACACACAGCCAGATCTAAACACACAGCCTGATCCAAACTCACACCCTGATCCAAACACACACCCTAATCCAAACACACAGCCTGATCCAAACGCACAGCCTGATCCAAACTCACACCCTGATCCAAACACACAGCCTGATCCAAACACACACAGTGGTACCCTTTCTCGAATCTGCTGCTCTCCAGCCTATTAAAGTGACTTTGTCTTTAGACATAGTCTTGGAAAATAAAACTTTGATTAGTTTTCTGGGCAGAATGGGGTTAGGGTTAGATAAGTTAATTTAAGTTAGGTTTCTGAGCAGGTATTTTTCTTATGAAACTGATAAGGGAGATTTTCAGAGGAGATGTGTTTCTTCTCCTTTCCACTGAATCTCCTTTGAACTGGGTTTGATTTTGGGACAGAGGTACCAGATAACCAGAGAGGGAAAGACTGAGAGACACTCCATACAGGAGTGAGCTGGATGGAAGGCACCGTATTGAAGATATATAAGAATAATTGTATGCTTTAAGTTTCTTTTTTTCTCTCTCTAACTTGACCTCTGAGAATCACTGTTCATTTATTCTGACTTTTTCTGATCAAGTCAGTGTTTCATTATTGTTAATTATCAAAAGAATATTCCTCAACAAAACATTTTTATAGATTGATTCCATGACCTAGAAGGGCATTTCCTCTCCACACTATACCGTTGGACATCAGGAAGGAAGCATGCAGATATGTTTATGTTGGATCAGAAGGAGAAGCTTTGTTCTGCTTTGTTCTGCACAACTCTGATCTGGACAGTGAGTTCTGCTTCATCCCAACTGATGGCCAGAGACTCGGTGATTCCAGCAGCGCCCTCTGTGGTCATCTGGGATTAAAGAACTATAGTCACATAGATAACTAAATTAAAACAAAGTTAGTTTCTTTTAATTTGGTTCTCGGTAGCTTGTCTTTTCACAGAGACAGGATCTGATCCAAGACTTGAAACATGTGATGCTTAGGTACTTATAGTTGGAAAGTGTGGAAGTATAAAAAAATGCTGAGGAATTATATGTTTGAGGAGCCATTTAATGTTTTGATGTCTTTTCCTAACAGTTACTTTTTGTTTGATTTTGTTACTTAAAAATTACGTTTTTCAGATTTGTTTTAGCTAATAAAAATAGTTTTTTGATACAAGATTATGTAAACAAGCACCCCACTTTCACACTTGCACAGATGAATTAACCCGCGATTATGCATATGGGGAGACCAACCCATTGCTACGGAGATGCCGGTTGTTACCGTGGACACATGATGATCTGGAAGGAGTGAGCAGTGCCGTCACAGAACCACCAGATTCTTACTATGAGGTGAGGAAAATCACTTTGGACACTTAATCAAAGGACAAACTTTGATGACGGCTTCCGGATCATTTGACCCTGAGCTGTTTCAGCCTCGGTTGAACAACAACACAATAGAGTTCAGGTCTGGAGTATACAGTTACCACAAAAGTGAGAGAGGGAATATGTCATTTGTATTTATTCTTATGGATGTAATGATGGGCAGGAAGGCGTGGTGGAGCCGTGGTTAGTGCTCTGATGATGTCACTTACAGCAACACTTGTGGCCGTGGTTTAATGAACGCAAATAAACCCAGATTATTCTTTTTGCCTTAGAGGCAAGCAGCCACAAGTTCAAAGTAGTTCATATGGTAATTTAAAATGATGTTACATCTCATCCTTTGTGTGGGTGTTACCATGGCTGCCTCAAATAAACCCAGATATTTGAATTTGTCTTATCAAAATTTGTTGCTGACGCAAACATAATGAAAACAGTTAGTTGTAGCTCTGACTCCACCCCGCACCTCTGCCTATTGAGATTCACCTCTTTGTGGAGTTTTCTTTGAAATGTGACTCCAGATTATTCACAGATCTCTTTATTGAGCATATTTGAAATATTTGAAACGAAAGTACTGCTGGAAAACCAAAACACCTAGGTGCAATGCTACTTAATAACAAAAATGTTGTATTCATTAGTTTTGTTTTGTAACCAGGTTGTTGTGTATTGCAGACTTCTGCCCAGGTCCCTCTTGAAAATTAGATCCACATCTCAATGGGGTTTACCTGATTAAATAAAGGAAATACGTTTCCTTTATTTAAGGAAAAGCATTTTCCTTAAATAAGGAAAATACTTCCTTATTTAAGGAATGAGCATCACTCATTCCTGAGTGATGTTCATGACATATGCATGAGCATCACTCATGCAAATGTCATGATGCCTGTTAACCATGACAACATAAGGTTAACAGGAGCAAAAAGGCTAAGGTAGAGTACTGATACCAAACAGACTAGACAGAAATCAAAAGTAAAAAAACATACCGGTAACTGCAAACAGCCAAATGGATAAACAACAACAGAACTCTGAAAAAAACAAAAAAATGAGACTTGACAGGGAAACATGATAAGGCTAGAGAAGAGATACATGAGGCAACAGCTGAATCAAGATAAAAGAAACAAGTGAAGAGCATAAACTAAGAAAAGGCATAAGCTGCACAAAATATAAAAAATATTACAGCTGTAATATTGTTTCTTATTAGTTTTGTAGAATAAGGAAAGAGTAGAATAAGAAACAAAGTAAAGGTAGGATGCTGTGAGGTACGGAACAACAGTCAGGGAAACAAAAAGACTTGAACTAGCAGTAAAAAGTAAGAGCAAAAATACTGAGAAAACAGAACCAGGAGATGAAGACAGAAAAAGAATGTCTAGAGAAACAGATGAGCAAAGAACTAACTTAGACAAAATAACTAACTCAAATAAAACTTGATAATCTAGACACAAAACAAAATACAAACTCACATAATAAGAGTTAAACAAAGTCTTTGAATAATTATAGAGCTACACTATAAAAATAAAACTCTTAATACCCAGACATCTGGGGTTAAGATGTCTTAACCCTGAAGGGTTCCAGGTCAAGTCAAGTCAAAACTGAGTGACTTGAATCTGACTCGAGTCCACATCAGAACAATTCTGCATTTAAAATGTTTTGATCTTATGTAATATTTGACTTTTTAGTTTCCATTAGTCGTTAACCAGAATCATCTGAATAAATAGAAATAAAGAGTTCAGCTGCATCACTCTTTGAGCAATGAATCAGTTTTACTGTTTGAATTGAATTCTCATCGACTGAGACACTTCTGCAAATCAAACAACACATTTCCAGGTCTGTAAAGCCCTTTGGGTTTATATTTCCAGGCCATCGCACAAGAGAACAAGGAGCAGCTTCCTGTGGAAATCCAGCCTTCTACTGTTTCCAAAGACAAAATCCTCAAGTAAGTCTCATCTCAGTAATACACCCTGGAGGATGGAAGCTGGAAACCAGTTGGACTTCAGGAGGTCTGCCCTGATACCAAGGGTTCAGCCGCAGATCTTTTAAGTTGATCTGCTTTTCATTCCAGAGTCTTCACTCAAATGTCCCAAGTAAGAAACAACCTGACACATCCTCGCTTCATTCTGGTGGAGGAAGAGGACGAGGCTGACATCATTTGGAATTATGATCACATCAAAGACTACAGGTTGGCACCACACATCCTGGTCAGAGCTATGGAGGAGAAGAGAGTCATCATGTTCAATTTAAGCAAACAGAAAATGTTTGGAATATCGGATTGCAGGTTTAAAGGTAATATCAGTGAAGTAGAATATGTATTATTATCAGTTAGAAACTGTTGAAGTCAGATGCTGCTGCTGGGTAATTACATAGACCTTGAATCAAAAAAAGTTGGTTGTTTCATTCCAGTTCTGTTTATTTATTTAGCAACCTAATCAAAGAAATTGTTGTCAGAAGTCAAAAAGCCCATTCAATTATCATAATAATAATGTTGTTCACAGATGTGGAACGCTGCCTTTGGCTTCACATGGTGACTAAAAACATTTACAATCAGAATAAAAAGATCACAACAAACTCACAAACCAACAACAACAACTTCATAAGTGACTCTTGGTGACAGACCTTGTTGCCTTTGGTATAAATGAGTTTTTTGTTCCTACTGCCTTCCAGAGTGAAGCAAATTAAGTCACCCACAATTCAGTGGCCTTTAGTTTTGTTTGCCTTTGGTATAAATCGCCCAGCATTCAATGAGATTTTTATACACAGTATCTAAAATCTTTTTGTTGCATGAATTCATTTTCTTAATAAAAAACATATGCTATGTAACTTTTTTACGTCCAGACATATGGTCAATTTATGCAGTAAAGTTCAGTTTATTATTCAAACTGGTGAAGGTTTTCATCTATGGAAACCTAGAAAATTGCATTTTGCAGCAATCTTTCCTACTGAGCGTGTCTGTAGCGATAATGGAGAGCCTGGCTGAGTGTGAGCAGCTGTCTATTACGACCAACACACAAAACAATGGACCTCCTGTCCAGGGTACCTTCTGTGTCAAAGACAAAGTAAAGAGTTTATGGCAGTAGTTACCCCAGGCCTGGGGGGCCGGTGTCCTGCAGGTGTGTCTCTTCTTCAACAAACCTGAGTCAAATAATGAGGTCATTAGCAGGACTCTGGAGAACCTCACTGCACTGAGGAGGTGATTCAGTATTTAATTGAGGTGTGTGGGACCAGGAACACATGCAACAAGAGTTGCAGGACAGCAGCCATTGAGGGCCAGGATTGATCTAGACCCAGTTAAACACATGAGCTCTGAGCCAGTTACATGATCTATGCCATGAAGAGCATATCCAGTTACAGTGAGAGGCAGACATGACTCATTGTTGGGACAATTACTCATCAGCAGAAAATAACATTTTCAATTCAATTTTATTTCAAATATATAACAAACAAAAATAAACACAATTAACACCACACTCGATGCCCAAATGACACAGAGCAAAGCAAAAATGGAACAATGAAAAATAATCAAACCAAACTAGTTTAGCTTACATATTTGAAAAGGAGAGGGAAGAAGAACTTATTTAATTTCGCCCCCTCTGCAAAACATACTAATAACTTGCTTCTCTCTTCTTTATTTAGAATTATAATAACTTCAAGAGACTTAAACAATTATCTTAGCATCAGTTGGATATTTATCACAGATAAGTTGGATTTGGGTTTGAACAAACACACAGAACTTGTGTGTGTTTGTGTATGTGTGTGCATGCACGTGCAATATTTGTGTGTTTGGTAGGAAGCTGAGTCAAGAGCGGCCTCATGTCATGCTGAACCAGTTCCCCTGTGAGAGCATAGTGACGGTGAAGGACTGCCTGGCTGCTGTGGCCCGCAGGTTGAAAGGCGGTCCCACGCCTGACTGGCTTCCAGAGACCTTCAACCTCCAGACGGAGCTTCCACACTTCATCAAACATTATCAGCTGAGACGACTCAGGTTAAATTCTGTTTTTTACTCAGCAGTATCAGGGCTTTGTTTTCTCAATCAGCTTCACGTTTGAAAATCTTGAGGCGTCGTCACAACCTGCTTCTTAAACTTGTTGTCATACTGACTCAGATGGGAAGTTTGAAATACCTCTTTCTGGTTTTCAGGGGAGAAGACAACTACTGGATCTGTAAGCCGTGGAACTTGGCCCGGGGTCTGGACACACACATCACCAGTAATCTGGATTGCATCATCAGACAGAGAGAGAGCACACCAAAGGTACCACCACACTCGTCAGTCTAAGATGAAACCCAAACGTGAAAACCAGACTGTCTGAATTTAACTCCTTAACTCTCACCCTAAAAGCGTTTTGAGGGTGAGAATTAAGGGGTTAAATTCAGACATTCTAATTAGTCAATGAGGATATCATGTGTCATCATTACAGCTAAGGGGTTAATATCTGATCTAGAATTTTAATGGAAGACTATAAACCAGATGGGACTTTTACATCATTGGGCAGGTAACATCTCTGCAGTCCGCACACATCCTGGAGCCTCATCTATAAAGTGTCCAAAAAAATTTGAGGCACCATATTTTAAATACAAGTCGGCATGTATAAAAATAAACGTGATGTGAAAGTTTGCATAAATATGCACTAACTTTTTACCTGCCTTGAAAATATGCAGCAGCCATGCAAACCGTTTTTCTACACAATAACAAACTGCTAAAGTCCAAAATTCACCTTTATACACTGAAACCTTACTGTATTCAGAGTTATTTAACCCTTAAATGCACTGAAAAAGAAAATGCGGATTAGGGTTAGGGAAAATGCAGTTAACTCCAAGCAGTTGGGGTGGATGATTTTAAGGTGAACAAAGTGTAGATAGTCACACATACACAAATAGCAGTGCAAAAGTGCAAATCGTGGAAGGATTTTGCTCTGATGGAGAATATTCCAAAGGAAGGAATCAGAGGGAATTGGAGTTTTCATGTTCATAAGAACATGAAAACTTCATGTTCTTATGAACATGAAGTTATGAACATGAAGTTCAGGGTTCATGAACTCATGAACCCTGAAATGCAAATTTGATGTAAAATACATAATTATTATGATTCCTGCAAATTAGGATGTGTAAAGGAAAGGTGACTTGGCATGTGTGTGTGCATGGTTTTATACATCAGAGTTTCTTTGTGTGCTGCACTTTTTTAAATTTGTCTCTACACCAACTTTTAACCCTCCATACTCTGATATGTGAGGCCCCTGGTCACAGACTGGTTAGACTTTCAGCTTCAGGTCAGGGAGACCAGGAGATATTTTGATTGTCCAGAACAAAACATGACAACTGAAAACAGATACAATGGAAATAAAAACACAGACAAGCCAAATTGGATCATGATGTCTCTGTAAACAAAACTGCATCAAGCTCATTTTAATTCATCATGCTATTAATTGCTAAAAGCCTGACACAATTTTGTTGTTTCACTTTAAAACAAATTTTACTGAAGATGTTTTTACTGCATCCATTACTTATGAATGTGAACAGTTTCTATGATCTTTTGTTTCCTCGGGCATCAATATGATGTTACACAGAGGCTCACTTTCCCTGTCCTCTGGCTTCCAGGCTGAAATGTGTTTGTGTCTACAGAACTACTGGGCTTAGAGTGTCTGCGTGCGTGCATGTTCTCCTCAGGTGGTGTGTAAATACCTGCATGATCCAGTGCTGTTCAGCAGAGAAGAAGTAGGAATGGTAAAGTTTGACATTCGCTACATGCTGATGCTGCGCTCAGTGCAGCCACTGTGTCTCTACGTCTACGATGTCTTCTGGCTGCGCTTCGCCAACAAGTGAGGAATATTTTCCATCAAGATGGAGAAACTGAATGGATTCGCTTTCCTGCACACCTGGCAGCAGAATGAATTTTTGTTCTGTTGTTTAGGCCCTTCTCTTTGGATCATTTCGATGACTACCAGAAACACTTCACTGTTATGAACTACGCAGAAGGAGTGCAGCTTAAACAAGTACATGCTTTACTTTTGGAATCCTTCTCCAAAATGTTGACTGTTGGTTATTTCTAATTTTATGAAGATGGAATTTCATTTGCACAGCTCTTTTGTTTGTCACCTCAGTGGATTTGAATATCAAAATTTCAGCAACTGGATTCAGAAAGTGAAATTAATATTACTAAACGTATATAGATTCATTCCACATTTCATTTAGCATCTACTTACAGTGGTTTATCTGTTGTATTGATCAAAAATAGCTTTTGGGTTTTAGATAATCCCTAATCATTAATAGAAACACACGTTTCACTTTTTGAATTAATTTAATGAAAGAAATGATTTTTTTCACTGATCTTTTTGGTTTATTGAGATGCAGATCTGAATGAATTTCTGTCCTCTTTTGGAATCATTGCAGGTTCACTATGATGAGTTCATTCCCATGTTTGAACAACAGTACCCTCAGTATCCATGGAAAGACGTGGAAGTAAGTCAGAATACATGGACCAACTTATTTCCACTTTTTAGTGATAAAATATTTAGCTTCAATTAATTTGGTTTAATTAATGCAGCAAATATTTAGCGTGAGTACTTCCTGGGACACAGACAGTTTCACCTCAAGCAAATGTAACTCATATTACCTGTCTATGAATCTAAATGATGAAATTGGGAATATAGGCCTATTATTTTGTTGGGAAAATTCTGAAACTACCTGGATGACTTCTTTCAATATTTATTATTAGATAAAATTGTACTGTTGTGGGGGGGGGGACATTTTACAAGCATATCATATTTCTTTCACCTGATGTTAGCTTGAAAACATCATTCAGTTTTTCTTCTGCATATAGAGGGTTTAAAGATTAAGTTTCCTCTTAACCGCCGCACTGACTGTACAGAGTGACACAGAGAGGCTGAAGACTTCTGAATAACGAACTAAATGACACTAACGGGTTTCTGTAGAAAAGGTTTCTTTAGTTATGTAACAGTGATGGTGATGCAGCAAAGGATTGTGGGGAGTTGAATTGGTGAAATCAGTGATGTGGTATTTTTTTTTCTTATGGTTTCAAAAGTGTAGTGAATAATTAGGCATTTGCCAAACAGAAATATTTTATTGGATATTGATGTCAGCCCAAATTTTCAAATCAGTCCATCCCTAGTTTTTTGTTGTGTCATACCAATGAAAAAGATTTGTTTGAATTTACTCAAATAACTGCAACTGATTTAAACCTGAATTTGTTGGAACTTGGATTGTTTGGAAATGGACTCCAGCATGAAGGGGACAGACTTTTTTTTCCAGTAAAAAAAAGTCTGTCCCCTTTTCACCAAAAGGGGACAATAATTCATGCAAGTCAAAAATTATTGAAATACAGAAAATGACTTTATTGTCATTGCTCAAAGAAACATAAGTAAAACTGGCAATGAAATATCATTGCTTGGCCACCGGAGCACACACAGAAACACAAGTGTGCCTATAATTACATAATAAATAAATAGTAATGTGTTATAATGTGTCCCCTTTTCATTGAGTGAAAAGGGTACGTTTCCCTTTTCACTAGTCAGAAAGGAACACTGGGGTCAGTTTAGCACCTGCTTCAACATAGACATAAATGTGATTTTTACTGGCTTGTCACTTGTCTTGTGGTTAATAACACATCAAGGTTGTTGAAGATCTAAAGATCTCTTTTGCAAAGTGCAAGCAACTCAGCATCTTAGATCAAGCAGACATTATTGCTACTGTATTTCCCTTATAATCAAACAAATACATCAGGGCTCGCTCATGACTTTTCTAATGAAGACCTTGTTTCCATTTGCTTCTCTTTCAGGCAGGCTTGTTTAAAGCGTTCAAGGAATTCTTCCAAGCCGCTTCATCTCGGCCAGCACCGTATGGAATCTGTCCATATCCGTCATCCCGGGCCATCTATGCTGTGGATCTCATGTTGAAGTGGAGTCAAGGGCAAAATGGTAATCTTTAAAGCTCCAGTATCATCACTATCACTTTTTGTATGTTTCTGTATTTCCATTTGAATATCTTCTACTTCTATAAACAGTCCAAGAACAACAACAAGAAAAAAATACATCCAGCCTTTTTTGGGGGTAATATGGAAACTAGACTTAGATTTAGACTTACTTTATTGTCATTGCTTAAAGAAACATAAGTAAAATTGGCAATGAAATATCATCGCTTGGTCACCGGAGCACACACAGAAACACAAGTGTGCCTATAATTACATAATAAATAAATAGTAATGTGTTGCTAAATATATATAGCTTAATATTTTCAAGCAGTCAACAGGTAGTTTTAGTGATGGGATTGTTGAGCAGTCTGATGGCCAGTGGGAGACAGCTATTTCTGAGTCTGGCTGTTCTGCAGCGGATGCTACGGAATCTCCTGCCAGATGCCAAGTGGATGAATAGACCATGGAGGGGATGGGTGGAGTCAAAGAGGATCTGAATTGCTCTGGCTAAGCAGCATCTGTCTGCAATGTTATGGATAGGGGGGAGTGGAGACCCAATGATCCTCTCCACTGTCTTCACCACTCTTCGCAGAGACTTACGGTCTGAGGCCTTGCAGCTCCCAGACCAGCTGGAGATACTGCTGGTCAGCAGGCTCTCAATGGTTCCTCTATAGAAGGTGGAGAGGATGGAAGGTGGTAACCATGTTACAATTATTCATGATAATTGTAACATGGTTTTTGTAAATTTTGTGCTGGTTTGTGCAAATTATGATCAAAATAGAGGTGCAACGTTGTTATCAGTCCATACAAGTCAATAATTATTGAAATACAGAAAGTCCAATCTAGGGCTGAAACAATTCCTCGAATGATTCGAGTACCTCAATTATTAAAATTTCTTGAGGAAAATGTATCTGTTAATGTATGCTTGTCAGGTTTAACACCTATTAAACAAACACAGGAAAGACAAGAGCGTTAGATTCTTTTTCACTTGCGAGGAGAACAGATAGAGATGTCTTTTCAGTTACAATCTCCAACCACTCTGAAACCACATTTGTCTGCTCCTCTTTTTATTGTTTTCAGAATCCCTAATCACAAGGATGCTGTAGCTCTGAAGGGAGGGGAAAACAATTCATCACATAGCTACAGCGCTAAATGACATTTACTAACTAAGACACAAATTATCTTGCACTAGATAATCTTGTTCCAGGCACAAAGTTTAACAGAATATGTTGTGAATCTTCACAGTGACGGCTTTATAGCCATCTAGCAGCTCAACGAAGCAGATCTCCTGGTCAAGAGATAACCCTGCAGGAAACTGCTGTCTCTGCTTTCCGTCAGTGAGGCCTTCTGAGAAAGGAATCAGAGTAAATCAACAATATAGAAACATTCTTAATTCTATAATGAAACTGAACAATAAAAGCAAATAAGAAAGATAACATTATAAAGACACATGAGAATAACAAATATTTGATTAATAACATCACAATTTCTCCAACAATGCTTTATTAAGTGTTAGCAGCAATTTCAAGTTCGCTCTGGGAGGATTTTATTGATTCATGATAATGTCTGGGGTTTTATTGTTTTTCGGGGGACCAAAAAGCATCCTTAATGTAACTGGCACGATGTTTGGGGTACGGCAGCTTTTCTCCTCCTGGAGCTGCTGCTTGGTGACAGTTCAGAGCGAACGGTGGGGAAGAGCACTGCAGGTGTATTTACACAGGTGAGCAAATAGACTGAACAATGCGGAATGTTCATTTATGAAAGAGACTGGAGATGAATACATAAACGAAAAACTGGAGTATACACTTTTTTTTTAAAAAATATAGAAGCATATTTGAAACAGGCTGTTTCAAAAGCTTCTAGATTGTTGGTCATGCAGGTGTCACTGCATATTCTCCCAGTCACAGAGAACAAATCTTCATTTTATTTTTGCTTGCAATGTCCCTGCAATCTTGCCAAGGAAAGTTGTAGTTTGAGCAGGTCAGTTTAGGAAGGAGTCCTTTGAGACACACCAACAGAGCGGGACTTGCCTAAATACATGCTCTGATGGAAGGCTATGATCCTGCTGTTAGTCACAAATCTGCAAATAAATATATTATAAAATATTGTGTGTTATTCAGCACAAACATTTTTTGTCATTTAGCACAAGCCAACAATGAGCAATAGCCTCTTCTAGTCCCACCTTTCACTCTGTTACCCACAATATCTGTGCATTTACTGTCAAAAGTGATGATCTACATTGAGAACTGATCAAGTGAAATCTCAATATCTGAGAATGATTTTTTGTATTAAATGTAATGGACATGTTTTGTATAGACCACAAACATATCCCAGCTTGTTCCAGGGAACATAATAGTAGACCTTTAAAGTTATAGTTTGCATTGTACAATATAAAATAACAGTTATGATTAAGACTGTAATGTGATGCTTCTGCTTTAAAGGGTTTGTTCTTGATCCTGCTGCTCAGCAAAGTGGTGGAGGGATGACGATTGGACTAAGGCTGAATATTTTAGTAATCGAGTAATCTTTCGATTATTCTTACGATTATTTGAGTAGTCGTATTAAAAAATTTATAAAATAAAATCCTGGTAAATTTAACATAACAGCAGTGTTGGTATCAAATACCAACATCAGTCCAATTGTTCATATTTGAACTTACTTAACAAGTTTAAGAAATGAACCTGTAACAATGAAAGCTCACTTTCTAAGTTAACTTGAAGAAAAGTTCTACAAAAATCTGAAGGCAGGCTCACAAATACACAAATACGCTCACAAATAAGCAGGCCCAAATACGGATGGGCCTGCTTCTACCATCCGGACTTCTACAACCACATGTTCCAGACTCTGTTCCTGGATCAGCCTGAGAACTGTCCAGTTACTCAGATTGTGTGAACAAATAATAATTCCCTTCTCACCCACCGCGGGTGGTTCTTATCCTCTGAGCTCGGGTCCTCTACCAGAGGCCTGGGAGCTTGAGGGTCCTGCGCAGTATCTTGGCTGTGCCAAGGACTGCACATTTCTGGACTGAGATGTCTGATGTTGTTCCTGGGATCTGTTGTAGCCACTGCTCCAGTTTGGGGGTTTCTGCCCCGAGGGCCCCGATGACCACAGGCACCACTGTGGTCCTCACCTTCCAGGCCCTCTCCAGTTCAAGTGTATACTCCAGCTTTTCATTTATGTATTTATCTCCAGACAATTTAATAGATGAACTCTCACCTTGCCCAAACATTTATAGCTTTTCTGTTCATGTTAGCAATAAAATTTGGCTCCTTAGTTTGTCACAGAAAGTCATCTACCAGCTCTGTACCACCACGTTGCATTCCGCCACCCTTTTGTTGAGAACGGGAACTTGAAAATGCTGCTAACACTTAATAAAGCATAAATTAACAGATAAATTTTCCTCGAGGAATTTTAATTATCGAGGCATTCCAATCATTCGAGGAATTGTTTCAGCCCTAGATTGGCTTTTGTGTTGCTTTGACACTCTTCATTTTTATGTACTATTTTAATAACAGTATAACTGTTCTTCTTGGTTCAGGTGAGCGGATCATGCAACCTCAGATCCTGGAGTTGAACTTTAGCCCTGACTGTGCCCGGGCCTGCTTCTACCATCCGGACTTCTACAACCACATGTTCCAGACTCTGTTCCTGGATCAGCCTGAGAACTGTCCAGTTACTCAGATTGTGTGAACAAAGTTTCACCACAGAAGACTCTTTATGGTTTAGGCTTTTATCAGCTTTTTCAGTATTAAACAGTGTCAAATATGTTTCACTGCACCATATTTTGTCCAATCAGTTATAAGGCAAACGACCTGCTCAGAAAGTAAGAAGTAGTCCTTTGTTCAAATTACCAATACATTGGGGCGTCAAAACCTTCTTTAGGCCAACTATAGGGACATTTCTGATTTTCACATGACATCTTGTGTTCTAATTGATGAATTATTAATTACCCTTTCAATTTGGATTACGTAATTGGAGTGAGGTCAAACGACATCTAACTTCACAGGCCGTTCACTGTGCAGCAGGGTTTGTTTTTCCAAACGGAAATCTCTCAGCAACTAAGGAATCCTAAAAATCTGGCGAACTGAGAATGTTTTTGAGAAGATTAAGTGGTTTCTTTTGTCAGTGGTTTAACACATACTCCAGTTCAAGGACTGATGTGATACATGTAAACGTTCACATTCTTTAGCAGTACAGATCAGATTTCTATGGAAAATTGTATAGTTTGGTTCCAAGTTTTAATAGGAGGGAATGGATAATGCATCACAAATGGTGGATAACTGTAACAACTGACAAGTTGAATCTATTTACTGAAATTGTCTCTAGTACCATTATCCAAAAATCAAATGAAGTAAACTAATTGCATTAGATCCTGCCCCTGCAAAACACAATGGCAAAAAGATGCATAAGAATGCCAAACTGAGAACCTAATACATCATTCACATGGTACAGCACGGTCATGGCAGCATCATGATGTGGTATGATGGGGCTCTAGACTAACATTTTGTACTGGTGCAGCTAACTTTTTCTTCTTAGATTCACTAGCACAAAAGTTAGGTGCACCCAAATGTCTGACCATACTGCAATTTAATGAACTTTAGTTCATTAAAAAAAAAAAAAAAACTAAAATTAAGTTAATATTGACCTGTAAATGATTAATGGTTTTCTTAATCAAGAACCACTAATCTGATCAGAGTTGATTGGAAATTGGTTGGATGTAATGGAGGACAATCCTAGAAAAAACCTGTTTGAGGCTTAATAGGAGGGAATGGTTTGAGGCAAACGACCTCAAACCATTTGCTGTTTGCTACTAAAACATCAGTTTTAGTAATACGAGTGGATCCATTCGATCCTCTTAAATCATTTACTGTTTATCAATTTCATTTCCTTTTTTTTTTTTTTGCTTTGTTTTTCTTCCCACTCTTCTCTCATATTTAATACTTAAGTATTAAACATGACAGGAGATTCGCCTTTCAGCAGGTCAAACAACCTAACATACAGCCATTCTGTAAATCATGTTGGTGTCATGGTTCGAATAGGAAGTAAAAAATGGGTTACATTAAAGGATTGTCCTGTGTTCCTGTGTGGTTCAGTGTAATTTCAGACCTAATCCAAGTGATAAACTATTACAAGGCTTTAAAAAAAATTCCACAAATGCTGCACATGTCACTTAATGTGTGCAGCTTTCCAAAGAAGAATCAAAACTTTTGAATACAAATGCAAAATAAAACATTATTTCTACTTCATAATTGTAACCTTTGTTGTATATTATATAAATTAGAATAAAGTCAAAATTTGTAATTGAAGTTGTACTTGTACTGTGACAAAATTTAAAATTTCAAGGAATTTGAGCACTTTTGTGTATTGTTTGTGCATGCGTGTGTGTTTGGGGTGAGGGTGCTGAATTTGTTAGGAGTTTGCATTTTCTCAACATGGATTCCATTGAGGTTCTCTAATGGCCACAACCTCCACCTGTAACCCTGCACAAACAACCTGTAAGATTCATTAAATATGAGATGAGCTCATATTTAAAAACATATTTAATGAATCTCTGCTGTTTAAATATGTGAAGAGAGAGCTTATTGACTTGTAATTAGTTGTCTACACGTACTTTTATGGCATTCATTTAATTTCAGTTAGAAAATGACAAGAGTCTAGGTTTGGAGCCTAGACCATAAAACATTCGCTGCTCCATTGATAGCCACGCCTCCTCATAAAACCGCCAATCAGAGCTGACGCTGGGGTTGTAAAACCAATCGGTCAACGGTTAAAGTTTGCCCCTCTTCCCACTATAGTTTTAGGTTAATGTGTCAGCGTTGTGGGACGTCAGGAGAGCTCGTGCGGGTTGAAGGGAAGGAAAAGGAAGTGGAAGTCGCGTGACCTCAGTCTAAACACATGTTTGTGGATTTGCTCGGCGTGCATTTTGGAAAACCTTGCTCGAAGTTCATCGGCGGAAAAAACAGGAAGCAACTGTACGCCTTCAGTAGGAACCAGCAGAACCAGTAAGTGCTTTTGTGTTTTTTTTGTTCAGACCACCGACACATTTAGAGCAGTTCACGCAAATGAAGTTATCCTGCTGTACAGGAGTAAATTTTGTTTACTCTGTTAAGAAAACAGAATTACTTCTGTTTGTGTGTTTTTTTACTTCTGTTTACTTAGCAGAATTAATTCGGAAACAATTTCCATCACAGCATAAATCTGGCGATGTCTTCTTCATCAGCGTTACATCAGCGTTAGATATTTTGGGTTTTCTTGTTCTGCACTCATCTTCACAATGAACCACACTTCTTTTCTTAGATAACTGTGTTCTTTTATTGCAAACGTTCAGGTCGTAAAATTTATTCTGATTCTTTCTAGAACAGTGCTGCCTATACATAAGAATTCGCTCTCATTGCCCCCAGTGGACAACAACAGTACAACATGCACATAAACAGGATATAGAACTTAAAGCTGTACTTTTCAAAGTAAATTAGTAAACATGAACACATAACTCAAAGACAAGTTAAGATGAGAGCATATTCTAACAAGATATTAGAATTTCCATCTGCAAAAGTTTCTTACGTTAGGGAGCTCGCGTGCTCCTGTCTGTTCATCAGTGTTTACTCTGATGGTTCATCTGCTTCTAAAACCAACATGGTGCCCCATATCACAAAATTGGCCAGGGGAAGCATAAACTAAAACAAAATCAGAACAAAATGGCAGTCACAATACTCTTCCATAAATAAAACAATTATGCTAAGAGTGATATATGTTCCAAGGATGCTCAGGATTCTAAATTTGAAACTAAATGACTGTATTCTCCAAGCTTTTGAAAAATTTATTCTCCCTCGTGGTATAATATGAGGTGTACAGCTCCAGATGGTTGGTTATGTTGATCACCTCAATGACTGGTAAAGATTATAAGAAGGCTTTTTTTTTTCTTTTTTTTTTTTTTTTTTTACAGATAATACGGATCATATTCTAAATATATGCGTATTTTTTTCAAAATGTTCCAGCCTATTTGGGGCATTGGCATACTTGTGATCAATTGTGTTTTGAACCGGAGAAATCCACTTCCGGACCTCCATCTGAATTTTGTGCGTCATCTGGGTCACATGACTGAAACCCAGCAATTGAGGACCAGTGTAGATGATGTTAGGTCTTCTGTTCTCACCACCTGGGGTCAGTGGGTGAGAAAATCCCTGATCCAAAGGCACACTGATGTTGAAAGTACCAGGTTGTGGAGCTTCAGTATCGGCTTCTCCAGGATGGCGGTATTAAATGCTGAACTGAAGTCAACAAAAAGCAGAAGTGTCAGCATGCTGCAGGTGTCAAGGTTGTGTGTAGTGCAATAGAGACAGCATCCTCTGGGGACCAATTCCTCCTAAGCAAACTGGTGCCTGTTGTTAAACTGTTCCTCAATGCTAAGTTTTGCCAGCTGTATTTCTTTTTTCAGGTTTCTTCAGGCATTGGTGTAGGCTAACTTGTCAGATGACCTGTGGAAACTCAATAGTGGCTGTATTTCCAACTGCGTGGTATTAGAAATGCAGATGGCGTGATTGAATTGTCTCAGACCAGACATCACTACCAAGATTCAAGAGGGAATGAAATTTACAAAGGAAAATTATAAAATGGCAATCCACAGTGACTTATGTAAGTCACTGTGGACTTACACAACCTGTTTCACCAACCTGCAACAAAGCAGGTTGGTGTAAAATTATTTGCAATACGATCATTTAGTTTTTGTATAGTTAATGTGTTGGTCACACTGATTGTTACTAAATGAATTCTTGGTGATGGGACAGCTACTTAGTTTAGAGTGAGCCACTGTTGGACTAGATTGTAAAGACTCTTAAATGCAGGCAAGAAGCTAGGAATTTATAGATCTGTTCATTTAGGACTGTTTCTACATCTAATCTTTAATTGGTTGTGTCTTTTTATTTCTCCAGACAAGTCAAGTGCTTCCTAGAAATGTGGGTGTTCCTTCAGCCAAAAGATGATCCATGAGCCTCTGTGAAATTACAAGCTGCTATAACCAAGGAATGACATTTTGTCACTATGTACTGAAGATTACAGTGGCTCATTGGAATCAACTGGACTGGGCACAATCATAACAGAAAATCTCAGGAACCAAAGAACTACTGATTTCACTAAAGCCCAAAGGAAGCACTACATTCCTTGACTCGAACCATGGAGAGCCTTACTCTTTAAAATAAGGATCAGAGACAGAATTCCCATTTTACAACTTTGCAATTTGGATATCTCCCAAAGAAAACAGTCTCTACATGTATAGTGGACAAGAAGGGACAAACTAACAAATGGTCAACTGAATGGGCCTTCAGTCTTTGGTGTGCTTTAGTGACCCTAAGGAAGAAGTACTTGGAGGCTCAACAAAGGACCCCTTGAACAATTTAGGGATGGAGTCTTACCATTCAGACCAATATTAATTTCACACCGGTGTTTTATTTTTTTTCTAAGAAAAGTTCTGGAAGAGTCTCAAAGCTTCTATAAGAAAATGTTCTTGCATTCGTCTCTTCATTGTCAACCATCCATTGTAGGTGTCTTGACAGACAATATACTGACAAATGACCAAATATGTGAATGGATTGCGTCCACAGTTTCAGAATTTAGGTATGCAAGAGAACATGGTGGGTTCACCAACAGAACCTCTGAGCAACACGACTCTGAAACCAGTACATCACCTCCAACTTTGCCAGTCACCCTCCTCCAGGCCTCTACCTCTGATAAAGACGATGAGCACAAACAAAGTTCTAACCTGAGTGTTTCTCAGCTGGGTTCTGTCACAGTTGGTCAGTCACCTGAAGAAGACTGTTTGAGGACAACTACAAAATCAAGTTCTGAGAAGAAAGGTGAGCATGCTGGTGAACCACATGACAATTATGCATGTGACCTTTAACCTCCAGAGGTGACTTTGCAAGAAAGATTGCATTTTCCTGGGAATAGGCTAAAGTAAGGGTGCATCAATAAATAAGTCCCAATTTTCTTAATTTTAGGATATCAACCAATATTTTAATGTACAACCAATCTTGTCTACCTCTGAAAAGGCCTGAAAATCAGCCAGTGAGCCCCTATTGATCTGCTGTGAGAGATGGCAGACTGATGACCTGCCCACCAGGCCACGTCAGCACTGCCCGGTTAACATGTTTCAGCAACGTTTCAGACAAAACAAATCTGTATAAGCCATAATCAGAATTGGAAGATTAGGCTTTTTGATATTGATTGCTGAAAACACTGCAATTGGTGCTCTCTACTAAAAATTATTTTCTAAGTTAACAATAGAAAACATCTGACCCAAAATGTTATGAAGCTGTACAGTTTTTCCAACACATTTTTTTCTTTTTCCCAAAACATTACATAAACTTGAGCAGGTAAAACGGAAAAAAATCACAGTATTTTTTATGGGTGTAAAATAAACTGTGACCCCCAGAGTCTTTTCAACTAGCTGACTTTTGACCTTTGAAGCGGAAAATTTGGACACGACTGATCTAAATTATTTTATATTAAAACGTGCTTATGCCATTCTTCCTTTATACAATGAGCAAGTTAGAATTATGTGTCATATGACATCAGCTGGGATTTTTTTTTCTCCACATTTTAACCTGGAGAGATCTTCACTTTTTTTGGTGACGGTGTAATTTACAAGGAAAAGGTGTCACCAGTGGTAGGAGTGCACCAATTTTTCTGGCAGATAACCGAACTTTAAAACAACTGATCTGCCAATTCCGATTTTTTTTTTTTTTTTTTTTTTTTTTGGAATTATCACTAAAAGTATTAAAGTCGCCGAATTGGCAATAGTGGGGTGAGTATTGTTTATTGCAAATGTTCAGATATGACCTGGTGAGCAGGTCTGTCAGTCAAACCTCTCACAGGAGAGCAGTTGATTTTTAGATATTTAGGTTAGATAAGATCAGGAAAAAGATCGGCCGATCACCGTTTTCCCAAAATTAAGGAAATCAATGCAGATGAATGTGTGCACTCCTACTTTGCAGATATGGTTATGGAGTAATGATGGAAGTTAACATAGAAAATGACATAACTGCACAAATGTTTATTCATTGTTCTGGAAAATGTACAATTTATTCAAGAGTCAACTGACAGTTAGTGCATAGTGTGTAGGTAACATTTTTTATCTTTGATCTCTTACAGAAAATTCACTGATCCTGTCAGAAGTCTCCAGCACCCATGAAAAAAAAGATGAACAGCGTCCTGTCATTAACACTACCATTGATGCCTTTATCAGTGATGAACTGATAAAGGAGTCCAATCAAACAGTGGATAGCAATTCATCAGATAAAGACTCCATGTTTCGATTAGATGGCAGCAGGACTTTAGTTGACAAAGTTGGAGAAAGTGAAATTTGTCAGCAGCAAAAAGGGGATGAAGTTAAAGAGGGGAGAGTAGTAGCTGCCTTAAGGTCAAGTACTACCAAAGAAGAGTCCAGGAAAGGTAGTAAAGCTCAAACTGATAGAGCAAGCTCATCGGGTTCATGCCAACAGAACTCAACAAATGTATTGGAAAAAAGGTTCCAACAAACCAAATCTAACCATCAAGCACAAAGAAACACAGATGGAACACCAAATTTTGCTATTCCAACTGATCCCCAGTATGATGATATTTCAGATGTGGAAGAGCACTCATGGTTGACTGCCAGATTTCTGAGGGTAGAGGGATATGAAGATGTAAGTGAAGATGAAAATCAGGGCAGTGGAAAACGAACTGGGAAGATGGGCTCTACCCCACCTGTTGTGTCTGTGCCTTGCAGTAAAACATTAGAAAATGTGCAGCTTTACGATTCCCCCAATACACCCACACTTGATGAAATAACAGATATTCATTCTCCATATTCTGTTGAAACTGCTGAGTCAGAACATCACTTGTGTATTGAGAGAGATCATGGAGGGCAGACAAACCACTTCTTGTATGAGGAATTTAGCGACGAGTCTGATGAGGAGAGTGAGGTGGAGTTTGAAGTGGTACCTATAATGATGTCAGACTTTAACCCTGAACCGGTGGAAGAGGAGTCTGCCTCAGGAAAAGTGATGCAACATGTCGGTGTTCATGAAAACCAAGCACAACAGCATGGTGTAAATGCAAGACAAAGTTGTGCTCCAAAGCCAGTACCAGCATCTGCATTTTCCAAGATGGCCATCTTTGACACCCCAGATGATCAAGAACAAGCCTTTAGATGTGGTCAGGTTTCCTTTGTTGCACTCCCCTGTGGCAGCCCTGAGTCAACATCAGGACAAGGTGAGGACAGTTGTGCCACTGAGGACAGTTGTTCTTATTCATCTGGTCCTGAGTGCAACTATATGACTGTGTCCAAAGAGCTATATAAGAGCATATCATCTGCCCAAAGAAAGACTGGCCACTGTGTCCCCAAAAATGGGGAGGTTGTGCAAATGCCTCTAGATGATGGTGTAATTGACAACCTTGCTTTGGATTTGGAAGATAACCACTGCGAGTCAAAAATTAAGAAACAATCTCAAACTTCAGAGAACTTCAAACAAAATGATGAAAGTGTTGTGATTATTTTGTCTGACTCGGATGAAGAAGGTGGGGAAAATTACAATATGGCAAAGATGGCTTCAACGGCAACTTCAGTAGACTGTGGCAGAGGTTCTAGACAAGAGAGGAACACAGCAACTCCTGAAGTAGCAACATTGGACAAGAACCAAAAGAGCAGCAGGTCAAGAATGAGTTGGCAACAGTCTGACAGTGCAGATCTGACAAGAGAGGTTATCTCAACAGAAGCAGAGGACAGTGACGACTTCTCAAATGCAGATGTAAATGTTTTGGAAAGGAAAAAACTGAGAACAGCCTCTAGCCACCCCAGATGGCTATCAGAGGTAGACATCACTGAAAACGTCTGCATAATTGAGCGCATGATTGTTAAAGAATCAAAATCTGGTGAGCCGGCTACACTTGTGAGGGTACCCAGAGGCCCCAGCCAAGGTTCACGTGAATCCATGCCAATGGCAAAGTCTTCATTAACAGAGAGGGATGGGATCAGAGAGCAACCTGACAAACCTGCCTCCATCCCCACTAGAACTCATGTCGAAGCCCACAAGAACTCGCGTAGACGCATCATGCATGCTTCGCCGTCTCCCTCCTCTGACAACCCTTTAGCAATGGATCATCACTTCACTCTTGCAAGGTTTCCATCATCTTCAGCTCCTGTTGAGTCAATACAAGTCACCAGCCATGCAAGGAGAAAAGTGTTTAGAACCTGGAAAGATCAGCATGTCCCTCTGCGGAAAGAGAAAAAACACAAGAGGGAAAATGCCTTCAGACATCCTCGCTAGATGGTTCACCAGCAGCTCAGATGGCAGTAGTTTTTCCCAGGTTATGATGATCACTGAGAAAAATTCCATTAGGTCATTTATATTTTATTCATAATATTATTAAACGGTAAAATATGTATAAAGTATCACAATCTGGATGTTATGAATATATTTTGTCTTACTTCTAGTATTGCATCTCATTATCTTTTGGAACAAATGTAAATTTGAGATGTCAAGAGATGTTGATGTTTTATCAACCTCGTGTTGTACTGAACACTTGACTTAAATCCTGACTGCTCACCTACACTGAGTTTTGCTCTTTTCCTCAATTGCAGCTTTGACTTCAAACTTAAACTTCAAATGCCGTCAGAGCTGTATCACTGCTGTGTTTATATTTCACGACAGGGTAATCTGGCATGACGGTTTTATTTCTCTGTGATGCATTACTAGGTAAGGTTTATTTCATGTTTCTTCCGCATTTAAATACAGCAAAGTAACTGAAACCTGGACGAGAGTAAAGATTTTACTGAGAAATTAGGTCCTACTAAGCAGTGTGTCTGTGTACTAGACAATATTTGCACTTGCTACTTTTGTTTTTGATATATTAGGAGTGGTATGGAGAAAATTAACCTGTGGTTGGCTCAATCCCAAGTTATCCCCTTCCTCTGTTATGCAGTCATATATGAGGGTTCATATTTTCAACTTTTCTCAGCCTCTGAGTTCCTGTATTCGCTAAATGGTTCTGTCAAGGAGTCTTTGTTTGGAATTATTGCATTTATTAACTTTTTGAGGAGGTGTGGTTGACCCTTTTCCAATGTATAAGTGGACCTCATTGCTAAGTATGATGCTCATCAATTGACTGGATCTACTTGCTTAATGGGGCATTACTATCACCAACTGGTAGGGAATGTGGACCAGATATAAGCCCCTACTTCCTTGCAGGAGGAAAAAAAATGCTATTAAAATTAAACTCTTCAAAACAGAATATCGTGTGGTAGTTTTTGTGTTGAGTTTAATATACATGAATATGATTTAGTTTTGTGTTTTGGATCCTCATTAGCTGCAGTAGAACTACAGCTATTACTGGGGTCCGGTCTGTCGGACAAAAATAGCATACTTAAATATACTGCTCAAAAAAAATAAAGGTCTAGATCTGAATGAATTAAATAAATATTAAAATAATTTCCACCTGTTGTCTATTCCATTTGCACAACAGCAGGTGATATTGATTGTCAATCAGTGTTGCTTTGTAAGTGGACAGTTTGATTTACTTGGAGTTATATTGTGTTGTTTGAGTGTTCCCTTTATTATTTTGAGCAGTGTATATTTTAAATATACTGTATACTTTTATAAAGTACATTTTTAGTATGTTATCAAGTTTATATTTATTTGGATTATACTAAAAATGTAAAGTACATTTCTGAAAACATGCCTCAAATGTACTTTTTTTAAAAATTATTTACTTTTCTAAAATATACTGTAAATTCTAATTAAATTTTAAAATTATACTTTGGGTAATCATTTTAAAAATACACTTTGCATGTGTTTGTATAAATGTTTAAAAGTCTACATTTTAAAAATGTATTACACATACAAACAATACTTCTGAAGTATTTTTGGTAGTATTTTCAAATAAGTTCTGTGTATTGTCATGGGGAAAAAAAACTATTTCCAAGCACTTCAGGTAAAATTACTCAATCAGTGACAAATCTTGAATTGTGCACAACTCAGCGAGCTCATAAGACCATCAATAATCAAGCAGGTCTAACTGCAAAATTCTCCCAGGCAGGGACTACACGTAAGTTTCATACAAAGACAAGGCATCCAAAGCGTGGGAAACAGTCTGCTTCCCATGCAGCTTTGGGAAACAAACTTTCAACCTTGTGCATGTAACCCAAATAGCGTTACCTTGGTGGGACCAGTCAAGAATTTGGAATAAAGATGAAACAATACAAATGTAGCAGATGTGACCTTATTGTAATTTTTCCACAGTGTAATTTAGAAAACCTTAAAACTCACAAAAAATACACTTCAATAATATTTGTAAGTACTTTGTAAATGGTGTCTATATTTCAATGAAACACTTTCAGTGTTTCCATACATGCTGCTTTATGCTAACAACGTATGCCTTATATAGTGCCTTAATTATCTTCTATATTTTGTTAAAAAGGCAAAAAAGAAAAAAAATTAACAATCCTTATAATGGAACTTACTGGAAAGTAGTATTTTCTTCATGCCTCAAAACATCAAACGCTGACAGTTTAGTGACAGAGGTTCTACAGCAAAAACAGTAATTGTCCTTAACACTAAATGTAGAAGGTGTGGAAGTCAGCAGAAAAAGAAAAAAATCATTTTAGTCTTGTTCTCAATGTCTTCCAATCAAAACCAAAAACAGAATGTAGGACAACCGTTGGTGTCTTCTCACCTTCACAATAAGAGTATGCATTCGAGTGAGAGCTGTATGTTGGACCATTTTTTTCAGTAACAAGTAATCTAACGCGTTGCTATTTGAATCCAGTAGTCAGACTACAGTTTCTTATCGAAATAAAGTAATATAATTTTCACAAGTGGCAAAGTGTTGCAGCTGCTGAAAGTAACTAAAAAAGTTATTTTGAATGTAACTTAATTACTTTCCAAATCAAGTAATCAGTAATCTAAGTTACTTTTTTCAAGGAATAATCAGTAATCCAATTACAATTATTTTTTCAACGTAACTATGCCATCACTGGAAATATATACATTGTATTCACCACACAGGACTTCCTAAACACAGAATGTCACAAAAGCGCATAACGTGAAACATCACAAGTACATAAAAGAAAACACACAAAGGAAAAACTAAACAGCAGTGACAAAACAATTGAAATACCTAATGGTAACTGTCAGGTTTATCACCTAAACATTCTCACACACTGGAAAGAAAAATATAACTGAGATTAGATTTTTGTACACTCAGAAGAGCGGAGAGTTAAGCCAAAGACACCTCCATCTTAGTCTCTGAACCCACACCTACTTCCAGCAGTTCCTTTATTCTCACTAGGGCAGTCCCTGGGTTAGTGATTGACAGCTGTTATCTAAGGGAGGGGCAAACAGAAACCCAGCAGCCAAACACAGAACCACAAGGCTAAATCTAAACATTGCAGTTCTCCTATCTTTATGCAGTTGTGTCCTCAAGGCAGTCCCCAAGATCCTGTGTCTCTGGGTCATAAACTTGAACCCAGCCTTTGATGTAAGTCCTACCAGGACAGCTCTTCCCCCAGCTGTCCCAATTTGGTTTGCTTCCTGCTTCCTACAGAAACAAAAGAAACACACATCCCGGGGGCAAACAAAGGCCTCCCAATCTTTAATATTTGCATTTGTAATTATCTAAACCTATCAGTAATGACTAGTTAAGTCGGCCACCATGGCTTCTTTTCAGGGGGAACAGGTTGAAATTGAAAGACTTTCCAAATTGACTGCTACCAAACTGTCCACCTGAGGGGGACGTGGAAGATTGAGTAAAGAAACTGGGGACGGATAGCAGGGGTAGATGTCTCCAAGGCTTGCCACTCTCAGTCTAAAACATTCTTCGATGCTCCGTAGAACTGCCTCTGAATATTATGATGTACAGAAAAGTCTTCACCTTATAGCTGAGCTAAGCCAACTTCTGTGGCTATTAAACTATGAAAACCCTGATGGTGAAGCTCTGAGTTCTTGAGAACTGCTAACTGAAACACATTCTGTCTGAGCAGCCACACAAAAAATAAAGTCATGAGTCATAACACTATTTTCTAATGACGTTGCTGAGCTTAAGCTCACTGATAAGCCAGTGGTAGGTCGCCATCTTGAAGCAAAGTACGGTGTGATGTTAACCAACCAATTGGAGAAGTTGTAGCCTGCTGATGCTGCCCCTCCTCATGAGCATATATTTATTTACCTTTTTTCCCCAGTTCTGGGAAAATGATTGAATGAAAAAAGGAAAATTGAGAAAGATTTAATAAAAATGGAAAATTTAAAATGTTCTGTCATTGATCCTCACTGTTCATAGGAAGGAGAAATGTCTGTTTGTCTGGAGTAATACTGGAATACTGTGACATTGTCCATCCATCCATCCATTTTCTGGTCACCCTTCTCCCTAACGGGGTCGGGAGGTGCTGGTGCCTATCTCCAGCTGCGTTCCAGGTGAGAAGCGTGGTACACCCTGGACTGGTCGCCAGTCTGTCACAGGGCAACACAGAGACAAACAGGACAAACAACCATGCACACACACACTCACTAAACTAAGTTAATGCATAGACAACTAAGCAATATGTCAAGGCCTTTTGCACAGTTATTGATAGAGGGGACTGAACAAATTATGGCAAGACCATTACTGAATCAAAAACAGTAGATTATGATAAGTGAAAAAAAGATAAAGGACATAAAGATTCAGGAATGAGAACATAACTAACTATGAAAATTGACCTCAAGGAAAGAATTAAGATGGCCATAACTATGACGGATGAATTACCAACAGAGGTGAGTAAAGGAGACAAAAATATGAAAAACTAAGAAAGGCACTACTTCAACATATTTTAATCAGATAAAAGCAAGAAGTATTCATCCAAGTATTTACTCAAGTAAGAGTAAAAAAAGCAAAATATTTGGTAAAAATGTTACTCTAGTGTTCAAGTAGGTATTTGGCAGCAACAGCTTAATACCTATAATAAGTAAAGCAAGTTCTGAGAAGTCAGCTCAGTTTCCAGGCAATCAACAGCTATGTCATCTAATGGGGTTAAAAGTTGGCCAAGGGAGGAAATCCATCCCACTAAGATTGAAACATGAAAGCTCCTCACCACACGTGGTGAATTCCGTTCCAAATTCACTATCCACAGGCTATACACTAAATGCACAGAAGGAACAGTGGTCTGGTGAGCATCAGTGCTATCATCAAAGATGAAATATTGCAATATTTCAAAAGATTTCAGTCCTAGGAATAGCTAAGATACTGCAAAAAATCCCTCAAGCTCCCAGGACTCTGGTAGAGGACCTGAGCTTGAGATGAAGAGCCACCTTCTTGTAAGACAATGTAAAATATTTCCTTGTGGGAGATCAACTGTTTTTGTTGCTCAGTGTAAACCTGGAGATGCATGGTCACTTCCTCTTTTAAATTTCCATCTTTGATCCTTTTTTGTGCTCTTTATAGCTCAGAGTTCTTATTTGCACTGTTTTTAATTCGATTGTAGTGGGAATGTGAGCATTTAATTGTAATTGGAATAAAGTGCTTTCTATTTCACTTTTCAGATTATGATTTTTGCTTTTCAAAAGCAGGGCTTTTCATTTACTTTCCATTATGAACGTGTTACCTTTAAGGGGAAAATCAACTTGAAGTTTCCAGAGAATCAGGTGCTTGAACCGGATGTGTTCCGGGTGGATGCGGCTGCCTCTGGCAGAGTATATAAAGGTATGGGCTGACACCGCGTGACCTCCGTGTTCCCAAACATCCCAGTGGAAGTGCAGTTGAAGCGGCGCCTCTGACGGAGCAGACAGGCGCGAGGTGCGGTTGTTTGTTTTGTTGTTCTTAATTAGCTTAGCTTCCTCCGGAAACTGTGACGTGCATGTGGAGAAAGCATGTGGAGAAAGTTTTCCTCGCGCTTTAAAGAAGTGTTCACATGAAAGCTGACGGCAGCCAAGCATAATTGGCACCAAAAAGAGCTTTAATTGCTTCACCGATTACCTAACTTCCTCTTTCTGACGGCATAAATCTGAGCCAGACGCCAGGAGAGTCAAATGGATAAAAAAAAAAAAAAAAACTGTTCTACCGCATTTCTGTGTGTTTTGTTAGGTTCTGGGCTCCTATTGTCTGCGGTTCTGTACTGTCTGTAAATGCACCGTCACTGCGCTGGCAGCCGCCCAGGCTGCGGTCAGCCTGCCCGGGTTTAGACCAGTAGTTCCTCACTCTTCCTTCTGTTACCCTGTTCATCCTCTTCAAGGAATTCTCATCATGGTGCAGCTGTCTCAGTCCCT